AAGTTTTCTGGATTGTTACTTAGTTTAGTGGATTGTTACTTAGTATCATGGATTGTAACTAAGTTTTCTGGATTGTTACTAAGTTTTCTGGATTGTTACTTAGTATCATGGATTGTAACTAAGTTTTCTGGATTGTTACTTAGTTTTGTGGATTGTTACTTAGTATCATGGATTGTAACTAAGTTTTCTGGATTGTTACTAAGTTTTCTGGATTGTTACTTAGTATCATGGATTGTAACTAAGTTTTCTGGATTGTTACTTAGTTTTCTGGATTGTTACTTAGTATCATGGATTGTAACTAAGTTTTCTGGATTGTTACTTAGTTTTGTGGATTGTTACTTAGTATCATGGATTGTAACTAAGTTTTCTGGATTGTTACTTAATTTAGTGGATTGTTACTTAGTTTTATGGATTGTAACTAAGTTTTCTGGATTGTTACTTAGTTTTCTGGATTGTTACTTAGTTTTCTGGATTGTTACTTAGTTTTATGGATTGTTACTTAGTATCATGGATTGTAACTAAGTTTTCTGGATTGTTACTTAGTTTTATGGATTGTTACTTAGTTTTATGGATTTTAGAGATTCTGTTGTATAATTCTTGTAAGTCCACTGATGAATATATACTCTAATTGACCAAGTTTGATACTTTTATCATACCTCTTCATAAACATCCAATATGCTTACACATAAACAAACCAAACAGTATCATTAATGTAAGAAGGTGGATATGTGATTGAGGTAAAGGCATACACCGTGCTTTGTGTCATGTCATTATCTGTAATATCAACTCCCATATAAAACATCATCTGATATGAGGCCCTAACCAGTGCTAAAATAAGACCTGTCAACAACCCTGGTCTATACCAATGTGTAAATTGTAAAATAAATTCTCAACTTACCTGTAATATTCATCAGTACAGTAAACACATGGCACACCTCTTGAATCACTATGATAAAATCTGAAATACAAGACATCAAGACCTTAAAGGGACAGGTTTGCCATTTTTCAGGGATTGATTTAGGTCTTGAGAATATATAAATATCTTCAGAAGTATTAAAACTGCAAAATGCCTTCAAATATACCTCAATCTAGGAATGTTGCTTTCTATTTTTATACATAATGTCTTTTCTATATATGGCAGAGTCTTGAGAAAAGAAAGGTTTTAAACATGGATAATTCTGGACATAAATGGATTTGAAGGCTCAAATTTCCACGGTGAGTAGTGAACACATTCACAACCTGTGATACAAGGAAGATACTAGATTGCAGTCCAATGAAATGAAATGAATGGAGTTTTACGTCCTACTGTTCTGCATCATGTGAGCTTATGAAGACAGACAACGCCATGCATGGTGCAATGAGGGAAATTTTGCCACGAAAGCTGCATAAGCCTGGTCTTTTTTGTGGAACAACTAGACGCTTTTTCCATGTCAGCCCCTCTTACGATTGCAGTCAAGGTATAAGATGGAGACATAATACTTTGCCCCTTCAAGGAAACATTAAAATTGAAATGCTTTAGTCCTCCTATTCTGCTGTATATTTACGGTAGTTAATGAAGACAATGAAAGAAAATATAAAAAACTTACGCAATGGAATGATTTTTTACGACATCTGATGTGTCTACTGGAAGTGAAAATGCAGGAGACTACAAAAAAATATAAAAAATGCTAAAAATCGTATCTTAAGGTTAGCACGTAAAAATCGATCTTGAATACTTTATTCTTCTCCAATATTCAACTCCAAAAATTAAAATGTACAAGCCTTTAAATAGCGAAATCCTAGCACCATGCTGTTTCCACTTTTTAGGAAGAGACTATTGTTACTGCAGCCTTGAACTTCCAGCTTCATATTTAAACTATGACAGGACGTAAGAGCATGCACAGACAACTATTCTTGCTGATGGCAGTCAATGCCATTTTGAGCAACAAGAATGCTAATTAGTAACTTGTTTAGAGTAAGGTAGAGATGTTCATGAGTAAACTGCCTTTAGGATCTGTGTGATGGATAGTTTTACGGTTGAAACCGTTCTTAAATTAGAAAACAAAAGAGTGTAGGGTGACAACTGTGCGAATGCCGAAACTATAGAAAATCTATTTCAAATTATCGCTACGGTAACAATATCCTGTGTCAACATTTTATTGTCGTGAAATGTTGAATTGAAAATATCAAAATCAAGTTTCCACAGCCAAGTAAACCCCATCCAAACAGCACGTTATTGAAAATTCAGTTATTAATAGATATTGGCCAACGGTTGCCTTGACGGGTGACGGATGTTTACTTAGTGGTGACCGGCCGACAGGTCTAGAATAAACAATTGACAAACCTGTAATAAAAGCAATGAAAAAGCTGCTAAAGAGAAATACTGGCACCATTCCCATGACATCCTAAGATATGTCTTCATTTTAAAGCTGTAATTCCTAATTCTGCTTTCATCAACTCTTCATGGTTTCTATTTAAGTAACAGAACCTCAGAGTCCTGAAAAAAAGATAATTCAGTTTATTTCAGTTTAGTTAAAAGCAAATAATACAAACTTCAAATCCTCCAGCTTTGAGAGTGATATTAAACACTACTGTACTCTGTAGAATATTCTCATTAATGATTAATGAAAATCAAATTTCTTGGTCCCCTAAGACTTCAAAAACTACTTCTTCATAAATAAATAAATAACATTATATTTCTGAATTATAATGGATCACTGAATGACATACTCATCAACTCAAAGACAATCTAAGACTCTCAGTCTTCTTCAGTGCCAGTGGCACTAAATTGCGTCTCATGATATAACGTGGAAATTTCCCATTCTATTTTTAGCAAACAGCCACAGACTAAAAGCATCTATCGCCGATATCAATTTCTATGACAGTTCCTCATTCAACCGATAGTTGAATTGGGAGAGAATTCTATAATATTGACACCAATAAGCTAAAATGTTAGTAAAACTTACAGATTAGCTTAAAGTTGAAAGATGAAAACTCGTGGAAAATGATACGAAAATATGAAGTCACCGGAAGTGTTTTTTACCACCGAATCTTTTTTACACAGACCGTTCTAGTCGCTCACTTGTTCGGGGTGTTCCGAGCTATACTAAACTGTTATATTATAACTCATTGGTCCGAGTGATCCGAGTGTCCCGAGTGGTCTTGATGTGAATTGTCTTTGGTCTGCGTTAACCTGATTCCCTCGAAAGACATTCAAGACATTATCACTGAACTGGTCTCTATGCATGGATATATGCCTTTCGAGTCCTTTCTGTTTTATTATGTTGTTTATTCATAAAATAGAACGTAAGCAGTAATACAAATGGTTTAATATCGGTGATACATTACAGACTCGCAGGCCATTGGCAAGCTTCTAGAACAAGAGTGATCATAATCACGTGTCTCTCGTGATGACGTCATATAGCGGGAAATACAAACTTGTTATCTAACAGTACATAATACAACACTTTCGAGTAGTAGCTTTTTTTATTCGGTAATCCTCGACAATCTCCGAAAAGCTGAATCCGTTGCAGAGCGCTAGGTTAACTTTCATGGTAGGCCGTTTGTGGCGTTTTTGATTTCTAGAACTTTAACTCAAGCATACAGTCTGTATGTTATGATAAATTTTTTTCTAAATTTATGATAAACTTTTATTTAAATAGCCCAGTTTGTTGCTGGTCATACGTCTTCGACAACTCGTCCGTTAAAATGGCCAGCCTAGCCTTGGGAATTTGGCGATGATAAAAGGTCATTTGCATGAATACATGTGGATCAAAATGCCCAAAACACAAACTCCCATTGGTTGTGGAGAGATACTATGAATTTCAGCACCCCGCCCCGTCCACACGACCGTCCCTGTTGTTTTGACTAGATGCTGTTCAAAATGGTTGATTTTTCTACGATATTGTAATGTCAAATGGTGGCTCGCCGTTATCGTAACATTTATCTACTATCTTGATGGACACGCTTCTTCTGAATGTACATGAGTTGAATACTTTAATCTAGATATCTATTTTATCAAACTCGAAATATAGGACACAGTAATAAATGTGTAAATAAGGACAGGTCAGATAACGGTTTGTTATAGTCCAATATTGAGAAAATATAACATTTCCAAGCTTCGGTGCATCAAAATTTACTGAGTGAAGAGAGGCTATAATTTTGAAAGGCTACCTGAGGAAATCATAGGTTCTGACAATTTTGACAATGGCCACGTATCACGGTATAGGTGTCATGTCCGGAACATCTCTAGATGGGTTAGATTTGTGCTACACTCAATTTACTGGTGACGTTTCCACGGATGTTTGGAGTTTCCGGATTGAAAAAGCCATAACTATTCCATACACAGATACCTGGAAAGGAAGACTGAGCGGATCAGTCAATCTAAACGGAGCGGATCTAATCCAACTCCACGTTGAATATGGACATTTTGTAGGACAAACAGTTCGTGATTTCATTAAAGAAGGGAATCTAAAACCCGATTTTGTGGCGTCTCACGGACACACGGTCTTCCATCAAGTGGATAAAGGATTCACGTTTCAACTTGGAGAAGGGGAAACAACTTCGATATATTTAACATGTCCGTTCATCACAAACTTTCGTTCCAAAGATCTTGCTTTAGGAGGTCAAGGAGCTCCATTGGTGCCAAGTGGTGAACGTTTTCTCTTCTCACAAACAGATATCTGTTTAAATCTTGGTGGAATTGCTAATATTGGTCTGAAGAATGGAAAAGGTTATGATATATGTCCCTGTAACATAGTATTCAACAGATTGGCAGGGCTACATACCGCTTTTATGGATTACGATGAAGATGGAAAATTGGCTTCGAGGGGGAAAATTAAACCGGATCTCCTGGACCAACTGAATGATCTTGATTATTATAAGTTAAAGTGTCCAAAATCTTTGGGAATAGAGTGGATATCGGCGAAGGTGTTTCCTTTGCTAGACGTAAGTTGGATTTGATTCTGTTAAGGTGGGGGTAGGTCTCAGACCCGCATTGCGATTAACAAAGTCTTAGAGGCATGACCACTAAATACTGTTAGCACTGCATGTTACGGTGTTACCGTCCATCTTAAAGAATCTACCAATCGCTTGATTTAGTCTACATAAGACAACAAGACCACTGCTGCGACCAGTAGCTCTTGTTGAATTGTAGAATTTTAGTTGCATTTTGCTTTAGGGATAGCGGAAATGTAGAAGTATCAACTAGTATTAGTAAAGCAAATATGTCCGTTTAAACGTATCCCATAAACCATTTAACTAGATATTAAGTCATAATGAAGACCTTCTTCAATCTATTCCAGGCAAAGCAATATACGTACGAAGATATGATGAGGACCCTCGCAGAACATGTTGCCCAAAAGATAGCACAAGCCTGTGTTGACAGTAAACCATCGACCAAAGATGACGAGGTTTCGGTGATGATCACTGGTGGTGGCGCATTTAATAAATTTCTGATCAAAATCCTATCAGAAAAACTTGAAGAGCATAAGATATCCATTAAAGAAACGGACGAAGAGACGATAAACTTTAAAGAAGCCTTGGTCTTCGCCTTTCTGGGTTTAAGGTCGTTGCTGGGTCGTGAAAACGTCTGTTCGGATGTTACCGGAAGTACCACTGATACAGTTTCAGGAAGTATCCATCGTCAAGTGACGTCAACAGCAGCCGCCTGCAATGCTGTTCAAGATAGATTTCATTATCTTAGACGATCCACATATTAGAGATAAAGTAATAAAATGCTAGCTTTGAACAATAACGTCCATTGTGATAAATGAAGAAATTTATAAGCCTATAGATGTTCCATTTCTGCTTAGCCTATTACAATACCAGCTGGGTTGGGGTGGTGCTTTAAGCCTACTGTTTCCCTCGAAACGCCACTGAGCAAATGCATTCGTGGTTTTCTGACGTCCATTCTTTCTGGATTATTGAATGTATGATGTATATTTTTATTGTTATTGTTTTTTTATTTGAAATAAATAAATGATTATTATTAGAGCTAGCCTATAATGCAGCCATTGTCAATGTAAAAGCGTCTAATATAATATTTGCTCAGATGGTACCATCGAATGAGATCCTAGATTCTAGATGGTCTTTATGTGGCAATGTCCGTTTTCATAAGCTCAAACTGCAGAAGAAAGGTGTAAATCAAAATTCGCATACGGCTTTCAATATCGGCGACCTTTGACCTTTGTTACTTTCGGTTTTATTTTGTTAGCGAGATGAGTTACGTCCCCTTGTTTAAACGTCACTCTCGTTTACGGAAGTGAATAGAGAGAAAAACAATGGCTGACTTCGACACAATTTATGAAGAAGGTGACGACGAAGAACCGATTCCTGACGATTTTGTGATACCCGTGCCCGACCCAATAGTGGTGAGGGGTGGGGGAAATGTCACCATGTAAGTATCAAGGGATGATTTCATCTAAATTTGTGAAACTTTTAAGAAAAGTGATCGACAAAGGATCGAATTGGTTGGTGATTCGTGACGTCAAAATCATAACAAACATCGTGTGTAGATAATACGAGCCTATTGAAAGGTGAATGTTGGGTCAGGAAATGTACTAAAACCTGTTATTATTATTAGTAGGTTTAACACGAAAATATACCATGATCATCAATCATATGGTGTTTGTGGAAAATTTTATAGGCCTCTACAATATTTTTAAAATGCACTGCCAAACATTTCTTGTTATTTGGCTGTTTCCCTACCATCATTGTTATCATGGATCTAGGCCTAATGAATACTACTGATTATGATTAATTTTATCTTCTTCTATGCATTTTCTTTTAGATTTGGTCTTAGTAATAAATTTGATACAGAATTTCCACCAAGTCTTTCAGCAAAGGTAGGATACCTCTTTAGAAAAAAATATGATCTATGCCAAGCAATTTTATTTTTGATAAGCTTATAGCATGTGAAGAATTTTTATTAGGGAGATACAAACAATAAGCTTAACATAATTTTGAAATTTTTAATTTCCAGAAAATAACCTTCATTATTTTAGGTAGCACCCGAGGAGTTTAAAGCTACCATGGTCAGGTTAAATAGTGTATTAAAAAAATCTTTACCAGTGAATGTGAAATGGTTATTTTGTGGGTGTGTTTGTTGTTGTTGTACTTTAGGCTGTTCGTTGTGGCCAGTTGTTTGTCTCAGTAAAAGGGTAAGTGTCAAATCAAGTTTCATCATTTTTGTAAAGTTAAATTTTTAGAAATTGGTTGAAATTGCAGAGTTTTTGATGGTTTAGCTTATTTATACATCTGTTAATTTATAGTAATTTTGATAGTCTAACATAGTTATGACAATTTTTGATGCTCTTTGAGTCAGAAAACAACAGTTTAGATGGATAATCTAGTTCTGTGACTCCACTTTTCAGCCATAATCAGTTAAAACTATTCCTAATCTAATGTTCTGAGTCATATGATATAAACCAATCAAATAATCTTTTCATTTCTGGATATTTATTTTTCAACAATGACTTCTTGTATGTTTGCGTGTATAATACACAGTTTTTTTTGCCCCTTACAGAAGGGGTGCACACTCTATATGTCCAGTGAAATATATTTTGCTCAGTCAGGACAGTTTTTGAATAATTATTTTCCGTGTGATTTTATTTCTAGACGCGGCATGCTATAGAAAAATGTTTAGATTGGGAAAATAGTCATTTATATCATAAAGTAAGATTTAATTTCCCTTAACCCTTTGAAGTCTGAGTTCAATATACCCTGAACTCTAAATTACACACAACTTATAGCTGACCCTTAAGAAAAGAAAGAAACAACTATTATAATACGAGGATAACTTAGGTTGACATTTAAAGATCCTTTCTACCAGCTGGTCCTTGACCAAACCTCTTGGCATTGATCTTTCCCGGATTATCCGTACCCATTTACAGCTGGGTCGACTGGAATTATGAGTGAAGATGACTTATTCAAGGTCATCAGAATTTCTTATTGTCCTATTTTCCCTTGAAAAGCTTTTGGAGTAAGTGTTTGATGATAACTATAAACTTATAAATGAAGCTGTTAGAGTAGTATTAAATACATTAAGATTTTTCTAATGTTTTAATATTATTTTGAAATATAATTTTTTCAGCTTGGTTTACATTTTCGATTAAATAAACAACGTTGTGATTCCAGTAGTATGATGGAATATGTAAGTTTTGTTTCACACTTTGATTTAAAGGGACAGGTTTGCCAACCACTTGACCAATTGTCTCCTCAGAAACAGGAAGTTTTTAGCAAAGCCAATCAGTAATAATGTTCACAACTCACAGTTGTTATTTCAGTCTTCAAATCCATGTATCCTTGTTTGAAAGTTAAAATATTTACTCTTGTCTGATATTAGTGTTTGATAACATCATTAATAGCAAAATATTCTTTATCACATAAGACTCTTAGCAATTAGTGACGTCGTCCACTTAGTTTTAGTGGAACTGCAGGAACCACGGATGTCTGATTGAACATTCAAATGGTGAAAATTGATACTATCGTGTGTCCAATACAGATAAACTTCTTGACCTTTAAAGACAATTTATTTGTAGTCTGTACGTTTGTGAGGTCACTTGTTGTTATATCCAACTAATATCTAACACTTAGTATAATATTTCTGTATATTTTCAGGTATTATTAATAGAATTTATTCCTAAAGTTCCGATATTTCGGCCAGATTAACAAAGTGTATAGTGTAGTGTAGTATAGTGTAGTTTGTATATAACTGACAGAAGATGTAAATAATATTCTACAGACTGAACCAGAGAATTCCATCATTCATTCATCCTATTTTATTCATCCTTGATTCACTCAGTCGACTTCGATTCAATAAGACAAGATTCTTGATTAATTATGTCTGTTAATAATAAGTGTAAAAATTTTAAAGTTTGTTTCTATGGTGAGTATTGTTTAATCAATCATGACTTGACAGAAACGGTGCCAAATAATTCAATGTTTATGATGTGGGCGAAATGTTTTTTTTTGGTGTTCCGTTTTGGTTTTTTTTGCACTCGTTTAGCAACTATTTGGTAATAATTGTTATTAATTTTTGACTTGTTAATTTACAAAATAATTAATATCTGATAAAACAAAAACTTTTTGACCAGCATCAAAAATAATTTTTTGTATCGAGAGAAAGTTTAGCTAAAATAACAACATCATTTAAAAATATGAGAGCAAAACATTAACTAACAGACTTTATGACACTTTTTGAAATCGGACAACCTTAGAAAGTTATTGAAAGATTTTTACAAAAAAGAAATTTTGTTCTGAATATTTAAAACAAATTTTTCATGTTAAAGTTTAGTTCAAGTCAAATATGAGTTGAAGTTTGTCCATATTTCACATTGTCATACATAAAATGAAGGTCTCCAATTCATAGAAAGAAAAAACCTAGTATCTTTAATTTACAACCAGTAAAAATATGTAAAGGAACTATTTGGAATTATAGCTATCAGGACACAAATTGTTCTTAATTATTCATTGCAATTAATATAATTAAAAATATACATGAATACTTATAACCTTATTGATTTAGATACTTAATTAAAAGGTAGGTGTATATTTGAATGGATCAAGTTTTCATTTAATCAAAACAGAAGTGAATTTCAGCCTGTCTATGAAATATGATTTCTTAACCTACAAGCCTTTATATTATGATTTAAGACTTCAAATTTAGGTTAGCGATACAGCAATTTTTGCATTTGTGGTAGGCCAAATCCAACCAAATATACACTGTTTAATAAACAACCAATGAAATATATAAGCTATTTATCATTTCATCTTTCATCCTTTATTTCTTGCAACAGGGTAAAATTAGTCTATATTATTGTTTCGTAACCAAATTTGACCTTAAATAAATTAAAGATAGCAACAGAATGTAGAAACTCAGGTGGCACTTGATTTGTTAGATCTGAAGGGTTCCTGGTTATCTAAAATGGTATTCTAAGGTTTTTCATCAGTGATACTTCAGTGTCATTGTTTTTGTTAAGTATGGTTGTTTTCAATCGCTCTCAGCATTCCACAAGATATACATGGTTGCCAAAGTTATTAAGAATTATAAAAATAAATATTTATGTACATATTTAAACAAATATATTTTATTGTGATGTTCATAAAAATTATATCTCCGCAACATTTATAAAGGCCTTGCATGCATGTATGTTTTGATAAACCAAATGAGTCAGAATGATTTTGATTATTCAATATAGTTAATATTCAGCCTTGGTTATTTTGTTTCTTTTATTTTCTATGGGCTAGCAGACTCATTCTTATAATAGATAAAATTTTGAATGATTGAATAAACCCATAGAATATACATGAAACAAAATATCTATAGCTGTCTTTTAATCATTTTGATGGTCAATGGTTGAAAAAAATGAATAATATTTTGTAATTAATGTTAATTTAAAAGCTGAAATTAAAAGACATTTAAAGGACAAGTTTGGGTTGAATAAATTTTTGTGTACCAGCAGATATTTTCTGTATGTTCATATCTATTCCAGATGAAAGATTATTTAGTGTCAGTTGACTGATATCATGAAAAACTAAAGTTATGTTTCATGAGGATTCTTCTCTTCAATACTTAAAATGGGTTCAAATTTTCATTCAGGGTTTTACTAAATATGAGTTTTTAAAAATATCTGCAAGTGAAAATTATTTAATACTTGTCCTTTAAGCCTGATATTGTCTGATATTGTAAATATTATGAATGAAAAAGAATAATATATCGTATTTCCTTTTAATTGCAAAATGTAAATAGTATACTTGTTGTCAAGTTTAGACATAACATTTATTGTAGACAAATCAAGCTGAAATTTATTTTAAAATATTCGAAAAAAAAGTTTTTATTTTAAAGAGTTTTGTTTATTAGTCATCATAGTTAAACAAAGATACAGGATGAAAACCTTCTACTGGCTTTAGATGTACATGTACGAAATTGTATCTGTTTGACTCTATTTTCGATGAAAATTCTTTTCAAAACATAATATGAGACAGTCTAAGTAAAATTAGACTGTTTTTTTAGCTTTTATTTTTAAGCTACCCACTTCAGTTAGTGTCTAACTACAGCCCTTGTGTAAGTTCATCAAATTAGTGGTGATAACCTAACTCAATGACATCTGCTTTAACCAATCAATTTCTACCCTCTTCAGCGCTGTCATTTTGTAACGCGGTGTTTATCAGGTTTAGGTCAAAAGGTTAATTTGACGAACGTTCAAGAGGGCTGTGGTTAGACCCTAACTGAAGTGGCTGTATTAAAAATAAAAGCTGTTTAAAAAAACAATAAAAGTTTTGTCTAATTTTAATTAGACTGAATATGACTGCTCGATATTCACAAATTTTCATGTCAGTCATACGTTAATACACATATAATCTTTGTCTAGCTATACCATTCAAGTCATAGATTTTGATGAAAATTATAAAAAAATTTGCAAATTATTTTGATGTAACAGATATAGTCACTTTATGTAAATTAGCACCATTTTTTATTTGCTTATGTTTATGTATATTTTTGTGTCCATTTTTTATTTGTCTGATTGTCCAAATATCAAAGTTTTTATTTGTCTTTCTGTTTATTTTTGAAATTTGTTTTTGTATTGTCCACCTACACACAATTTATATTCAAGTTGATTATAAAAAAAATTGATGTCTATACAGTGTAAATTTTTTTTAAAGAAGTGAACACTTTCTGAATTTGTCTCGTGAAGTTTATAATGCCATTTTCTCTACATTAAATCTGAATGATTAGCTTGAAATATTGCCACCTTACTGATTATTCGTATATTTGTCTTGAAATCTTCTCCTGTTGTTGACATATTTTCGTGCATTTCAGACTTTTTGGTAAAAACAAAAACCCACAAAGTTTGACACAAATCTATTCAGAAATTATTTTGTTAATCTGGCTTATCTTTGCAATTTCTAGCTATTATGAACTTCTTCCAATACCTTGGCTACAATAGCCACTATTCTAGTGTCACGGAATGCAGCCATTTGATTGGATTGTACGCCATTGTATACGGCCAATCAGTGCCCTTGACTGTCAACAATTTAAGAGTGTGGTGAATCATTGTATGAGATCTCTCCAGAAGTAGGTAATTTCCTATCAAATTGATGTATTCCAATGCTGAAATCCAGAGTCCCTACTTGTGACCTAGGCCAGTGCTTCTATAAGAGAGTATCTCTTATAAAACCTTATACAAAGTTTGTAATAGCTTGATATGGTGAAGATGAATTTGGCAATGGTTTGTAGATCTTTTAGTTTATATGATAATGTTTGTATAAGGCATATTTAAAAACCCATCATTAAAATTTGTATAAAACTGTTTCAATGTTTTGTCTGTCAAATTTTGAGAGATTTCATTTATCATCCACCTTTTATAATAAACAAATTTTCAAAACAACTTAGTATGATTTATATTTAATTTATATTATACAGTGTGATTTCACAGGCATTTTAGAGCGTCAGGAAGATCTCATGTCACGGCGAATGTCTTAGAGAGTTCATCTGGTCTCAGCTTTCAATTGCTCTTACCTAAAGAAGTTTGAAACTTGCAGAATAGGAGAGAATCCGAGAGATCCATTATGTTATAGAGATGGATTATGTGTCACATGATGTACAACTTTAACAGTAGTAAGAGTGGTTTGTCCTACCAATTGTCCTACTAAAGTCATGCATGTATTCTATTTTTAAGCCCATTTCCCCTATTCGTTAGGGCTATCGGTAGATGGTTTTTGTAGCCTACTATACTAAATTCTCCGTTAAAATTCTAGACAAGCTTGCTATATCGCATAGAGTATCTCCTCCCAAACCTTAAAATTAGGATATTGCCATGAAATGATCCCAAATTTAATCGCTGACTGAAATATTTTATTACCTCCCTTGAAAAATCTTTAAAATTGAAAACCACGAAAAGCCCATACTCTTCCTTCAAGGAAAACACTAATGGTCTAAAAATGGCTGCGCCCATAAACTCGTTCAGAATTGCTTGTCAATTATGTGGAAAACCAGTCCGATTTTCACCACAGATTATTTGTAGAGGGGCGGCAACAGCTTCAAAATTAGCTCCTAAGTATGGCTACGAAATTGTCAACTAGTGCTGATGATCCAGACACCTGTCTTTACTTTTGATCGAGGGCCCTGACTGGCACTGTTGGTTTTCCGCATAGCACAACACTCCACAACGGGAAAGCGTGAGGGTTGAAACGTCAAACAGCAATAGTGCCTCTAAATGATTATTTACTTTCAGGTCTACAGAATGGGAGAGTGTGATAGGTTTAGAAATTCATGCACAAATATTGTCTGATAGTAAATTATTTTCTGGGTCTGGTACAAAATTTGCAGCTCCTGTCAATTCACAAGTTTCATTATTTGATTGTGCTATACCAGGAACGCTACCAGTAAGTACATCTGAAACTTCTGCCTCCCAGACTCAAAGTATCTATCAGAGGCGGGAATAGAGGCAGATGTTTCAGTCTACCTGTCAGTAAGTTATCACTGTATTTGTGTTTAATTGGAGCAGATTATTTAGAAGGTGAAGATCATGAAAGATATCAAATAGTCTATTGTACAAGTTCTGACAATCTACATGTATAACTGTCTTGGAACAAAAAAAAAATAGTCTTTTAAAATCCCAAAATGAGCATTTAATATTGTTGAAATAGTTTTTTTTAGAGCTAAAGTAATGATCAGCTAATATCTGACAAACTCATATACGGTATTTTTATGTATTTTTCAGGTTTTGAATAGAAGATGTGTCGAGGCAGGCGTTTTAACGGCATTAGCCTTGAAATGTAAGATAAACAATGTCTCTAAATTCGACAGAAAACATTATTTTTATGCTGATTTACCAGTAAGTTTTTCTTCTTTCTTTGTTGATTTGAAATCATACCAAAGATCAATTTTGAGATTGATTTGTAGATATTTTTTTTCATTGAATTTTTTTGACTGCTCTAGTCATTCCTAAAAGTATTCCCAAATTTTTGGTGAATGATATTCAGATATACTTCAGAATATACTGCATCATTTCAAGGTCAAATTTTAAAAATCTTCTCTGTTTCAGAAGGGGGTTCATCTTCCCCAACCCCACCAAAATTCTAAGGACGCCCTTGCCTATTCAGATTTTGAAAATGTATCACAGATTTTTTGTTATTTCATTAGACAGGATATCAGATAACTCAACAAAGAGAACCTCTAGCTATCAATGGTAAAGTTGACTTCATAGTATTTGATAAGAAGAAGAGTAAATTACCCTACACGAAAACAGTTCAACTGATACAATTACAACTTGAACAAGACAGTGGTAAATCTCTACATGATGATCAAGGTGGCAAGAGTTTAATAGATTTAAATAGGGCTGGTATGTATTGCATTCTTTTAGCTTTTGGAATTTCAGACTTAAAATTTGGAGGTAGTATTTTGAACGGAAAAGAAATGAAATGCTTGGTAGGCTACAAACAAAAACACAATACGCGCAAACAAACCCCTCCTACTTTCACTTACTTACTTTCACTTACTTACTTTCACTTACTTACTTTCACTTACGCTACATGTATTCTCTGCCTTCCTGAATTAGAAAATTTGAACTCCAACCATGAATAATGCCCTCTCAAATCTTGGATGAATGCCTCTCTAGTCGCTGCTTAAGATTGGTTTGTATTTGTACTTGACAGGTGTTGGTTTGATGGAGATAGTTACTGCCCCTGATTTTACGTCTGGTGAAGAAGCGGCAGGATTTATTAAAGAACTACATAAAATATTGACAATGATAGAAACGTGTGATGGCAAAATGGCAGGTAAGACATAGTTCCTGCATTCCTACCATTTCTATCCTGATGAGATGTGGTATATACAAAACCTGAGTCAAAGGCCATATTTCACCATTTTATTTTTAGAGTGATTTGTGTCTTGAATATATGTAAATTGTCTTCAGAACTACTGGAACTGCATGCAAATTGCATAATTCCTTCATATATACCTCAAACGTAAAAAGAACAATTTAAAAGTCAGTTTTTTATGTTTATTTTAGAGGGTTCACTAAGAGTAGATGCTAATGTTTCCATAAACAGACCAGGAGAAGAATTGGGCACCAGAACAGAAGTTAAGAATTTGAACAGTATCAGAGCTGTGGCTAGAGCTATAGGTAGGTATAGATGTCTATGTTGAAATACTACGTAATATTTGTCAGACATTCCCTTAATCAAAATCTCATCCTAAGAATGACAAAACGGATATAAAAGTTGTATAGTAGTGGACTCTTCCAAAGAGAAGTACCAGCGGGTGTTTCGAAAAGAGTAAGCAGTAAACACCTCTTTCACTATATCTAGTGCTCAATATCTAACTCCTCTCTCTTCTAGAATATGAAATAGAGAGACAGAAAGAGGAGATGGAAAAGGGAAATGAAATAGTCAAAGAAACCAGAACATTTGATACAGTAACTGGGTAAGACTGATTTCATGGTATTTTGGTGTTGATGCAGAGCTGCCATATATCATTTTGAGTTTTGATCACAAGACCTGTTATTGTCATAGCAGTTTGTTTTGTATTCAATTGTAAACTAACTATGTATTAGATTTTGCTTCTGTAAAGTGAAATATGCAGTTAAAGTGATTCATACAGAAGGTATTCTGAATAGAGAACCATATCCCATGTACAGTGTTTCAAATAAGATGTTTTGGTATTTCAGGGAAACAATTGTTATGAGAGATAAAGAAACAGTCCTAGATTATAGATTTATGCCCGAACCAAATCTGCCTCCTGTACATGTCTATAGTAGTCAGGATCTACCAGACTCTATTCCCAGTGATAGAGTAGTCTTGATTGACAAGTTAAAGGAACAGATACCAGAGTTGTTGAGTGAGAAGAGAAAACGGTTACAAGAACAATATAATATTCCTCTTGTTTTAACTTACAATATTGTGGTAAGGTGGACTTATTGGGTTGTTCTGTTCCTTGACTAAAATAGCCATTTTTCTTGTATCATGGAATGCAATGATATGATTGGATTGTACACAGCTGGATTCAGCCAATCAGAGCATACTTTGAACACTGTTCCTCGTCTGTGTTTTATGGTAGCCAAAGAATATTTTTGACTTATTCAATCCAGTACCCTGGTAGTGAAAATCAAAATTAATATTTATCCTTTTTTGTAGAATGATGATGAGTTTTTACAGTTTTTTGAAGAATTGGCTGAAACTGGACAGGCAGAACCAAGGATTATAGCTGCTTTTGTCAGTGACTTTTTGCTGTATTTTTTGAAGAAGTTGGAAATCAATATCAGGTGAGGTTATATTGATAACAATATTTCTTTTGATTCTGAAGATAAAAGGAGGAAGGAGTCTTCAATGTTCAACCCTTGCTATTATGAACTTCGTCTTATTCCTTGGCTGCAATAGGCTCTATTCTTGTACCGCATATAAGCGTTTACTGTCTTTCTGGTGAGGTCTCTGAATGGTTGCAGTCACTGGTGTATCACCCAATCAAATGGTTGCATTCTGGGATGCATAAGATGCAGTTCGTAGTAGCTTGACATTGTGAAGATGAACACTGGTCAAACTTCCATTTCAGTGATTTTTAAATCAAGATGGTTACCTATAATATTGTAAGGTCTATTTTCAGTGATATTAAGAGAGAATATATATTAGATCTATGTCAACTTGTAGAGAAGAGACTTATTACTAGAGAAACAAGAAATATAGTAAGTTATTTCAAACCTGCTAGCTTAAATAAAGCACGGTGTATAAAAATGCCGAAAATAAAAACCACTGAACATTCAAAATTTCTGAGTTTGAATTATATTATATAAAACCTTATGACATAATTTGGTTTTTGGGGCATTTATGGCTTCTGTTTGCATCATTCCAAGAACCACAAACGTCTGACTGAAAATTGAAATGGTTCAAATTGATCCTGTTATTGTCCCTGATACACTTACAAAGTAAAACAAAATCTTTACAATCCCTTTAACACACAATTACTTTCCAGTGAGATATTTACTTCTTTCAATAGATAAAAAATAACATAAATTACATAAATGGAGTTATCTCCCTTCTGACATAAATGCCTCTTATCTCGTTTCCATCTTTTATGGAACTTCAGTGGTGAATTTTAATAAGAGTGATTATATTTCAGTTATTTGAAAGAATGATCATTGAAGACAGGAAACCCAGTGATATGGTTCAAGAAGATAATTTAGAAATCATTCAAGATGTAGATGAATTAACAGAATTATGTATACAAGTTCTTGATGAAAATCCAAAATTTGTAAGTAACAATCTAGGTTAGCGCTTGATTCTGTCCTTAATCGAATGGTACAGAACCAGATGTGTGGTTTGATAATTCAACATTTTCCCTACCTTTTTGTATTCTGTTTACTTCTAATATTTAACGCATTCTGAACCCTGTTCCAAATTGTTTTAATATCTCCTGGTTTCTTCCATGAATCCTGACGTGCATAACTCTCCAGTAGTTTAGACAACCCCTCCCCTCATACCTCTGCCCACCCCACTATTTGACCATCAATTGAATGTATTGCAGGTAAGGAAATATAAAAATAGTTTAACAAAAGGAAAAGAAAGAGCGTTTAAGAATCTTGGATATAAAATGGAGGAATTAACTGGAGGGAGAGCGATATTTGGTGCATGGTCTGGAATTTTAAAAACATTATTAGAAGAACGCATTAAAGATTGAAGAAGCTTTGTTAAGCCGTCATCTCGAAATATTTCTGCTGTTTTTGTTTTTGTGTGACTAATCCAAGGAAATATTTGGTGAAAACGTGTGGGTGGAAAGGTTCTTTATTAAATTCATGAATGTGTATTGTAACTAAGCAAACGTGTGGGTGTTAAAATACACAAAGCTTTTACCTTATTTGGAAGAAAAGTAGTCCCAGTAAATAAGATCTATGTAATATTTGCTGTGTATGGTGATATCTGTTCAGGAAATAGAAACTTCTGGAAATACGTGGACTAAAATAAGGATGAGCCAATATCCTTGTTACTATTTATAGACCGGACTTTAAATCTTTGTGAATCTGATAATGAATTTAAAGTAGGTTTTCTGTGTTGAAAACTGTTATCGTGTCATCAAAGCAATACTTGAACTTGTGTTTTCCTGTTTAAATCTACATCTTTACATATGAAATATTGAGTTCGGGCAAATTTAACGAGAATATAACATTACTATTACTATAGTGACTATAGTGTTCAAGTCTTCTGATTGGTTAAGAAAGCCAGATATCAAACTAATTTCAGTTATTGACCAATCAGATTACAGAAAATCTTCAATCTATACTTATTACGTATTTGATTTGAAGCATGCTGATTTGTCATGGCAACCTCACTATCAGAAGCTGATGATTTTACAGTCACTAAAACTGACCTCATTTCACCCCAGTCTACAAAAATGGAAAACAAATACAAATATATTTTGATTTTAATTTGTTTTAATAATCATTTGGTTTCCATGGTAACCATGTATTAAAATAATAATAAAATCACTGACTTTCGTTCGTTCTTTCTCTCACTGACAACTAGCCAGGAATTCTTAAAACGATCTTAGCGCTAGGATATCATAGAAACAGTATTAGAAGTTAAACCCTAGGATATCCTAGAAACAGTTTTAGAAGTTAACACCTTTGGATATCTTAGAAACAGTATTAGAAGTTAAGACCCCTAGGAGATTCTAGAAACAGTGTTAGAAGTTAACACCTTTGGATATCTTAGAAACAGTATTAGAAGTTAACACCTTTGGATATCGTAGAAACAGTATTAGAAGTTAACACCTTTGGATATCTTAGAAACAGTATTAGAAGTTAAACCCTTGGATATCGTAGAAACAGTATTAGATTAACACCTTTGGATATCTTAGAAACAGTGTTAAAAGACTCAAGGATATCCTAGCTCTGAGATTGTTTCAAGAATACACAGCCTGTACTTTCTTTCAACTTAGATCGTACACTGTACACAGACTAATCATAAAACTATTGCTGAAAACTGAAATCTTGCTTTAAGATATAAACTCTTTTCTTAAATTTCCAAAAATTCAGGAATTTTCTTCATTTTTGGACAATAATGCATATTTTTCAAATAATCAATGACCAATAGAATGGTCCTTATATATTATTATACCCTGTTCAATATAATTAAATTAAAGCTTGAGATAGTTGGAATTTCTCAGCAAGTCAAATAGTTAAAACTATGAATTGCCCCTTTAATACTACTGCAGGGTAGAAATTGAAACAGATTATCAAAGATCAACTAAAAGATTTTTCACACAGCTAAAGCATAAAAGCTGGAGAATGTTTAAAGACATTTTGAGATTATTTATCATGGAACTTTCTCAAGAAATATTTTCATCGCCACTTTACAGCACCATATGAGAACTATTCAGTTGTAACCAAAGACAATAGATTCCTGTAAATCACCAGACTTAATTGGAATACTTCAAATTTTAAGTTTCTTTAAAAGCTCAAAGAGGTATTCAAATTGCTAAATATCAAATTCTTAAGATCCACGATCCACAATCTTATTTAATTAAGATGGATTTCATCAAAATTTGATCTTGTTTTAAAATTTGAAAACAAAAAAGACGTTTTTACATCACATTTCTGGTGATAGTAAAAAAAGACAACATGAACTCAGTTTGTATCCAAATAACCGTTAAAATTCTCTGAGTTTAACAGAATTTGGATATGACAGAGTAAACATACGACATACAATACATTTGACATCTTAACCTTAATTTAATCATCTTAAAAAAGGAAACAGTCCAACGATAATTTGAACAAAAGATTACTTATTCCAGGAAGATTAAAATAAGGTTAAAAAAAACAGCCAACAAACATCAGATTTCAAAAATAAGTAAACCTAAATATTAGGTTATAAGCCACAAAACTTTGTTTTTAACAATTGTAATATGGTATTGTAATTTTTTCAACCAATAGTTCGTATTTTGTAAATGTTTGAAAGATTCCTTTAAGAATTTGTTGGCTATTTTTTTATTTTTTTTTATCTAAAATATAACTAAAATAACAATGATATAATCTTTTTATATCTTTTAACTTTTGTTCATTTTTTGGGATGTTTTTAAAATGATATCTTAACATTTTTTTGGTGAAGAAAATGAGATGAAATGTGATTTTGAATGAAAAAGAATGAAAATGACAGAAGTTTTTCTTCGTTTTAGGATATTTGTACATAATGGTAATGATAATAATTACGTTATGATAAATAATAATAATAATAATAATGATGATATTACTACATACAAAACTAAACCAGTTTCTACCTAATTTACTAACAGGCTGTAATAGTCCATAGTTATCAAGGATTTAGAGTCTATTTTGAGTACAATTTTGCAAGCACTGATCAAGAATTCATAATTTTTTTCGTCTGTTCCATAAGGAATATCAATTCAAAATTAAACTGCCTTTTTTCAAAATAATAAGTTTCAATATTAGTGTATATCAAAAATTATGGTTTCACAAAAGAAACTATTTTATAATTATGGACGTTTTGTATAAATAATGTCTTCCAAATTTCATAAATCTCTGAGTAACAACATGATTCAAGTTCTGTTTTAATATTTCTAATTTTTTCAAGAAATAATTTGAAATGTTTTGTACTATTACCAACCTCAGATAAATAAATTATTACAAGCGACTAAACTTTAACAAAAATCACCACTATCCATATTTTTAACGCGAACGATAACAATAAAATACTTTTCCTTAAAATATTTAAAACAATTAACTAAAAACTAAATATTTGAATAAATACATAAAAACAAAAGAACAGAATAGTTTTTTTCCTAAAAACATCAAATTACTAAACCTGTCTTTAAAATTAGAACCACGTTTAATTAACTTATAATTATTAATCACCACAAAAGCCTACATTTCCTAAGTGCTGTAGGCCTGTTTTCAAATACCTTAGGAATTTATCTTATTCTCCACATAAGCCTATATTTTCTAAGCGCTGTGTTTTGAAACACCTAAGGATGAAGCGATTTACAAAAGCCTGTTTATGAATAAAAAATGACACCATCAATCACCATTTCACCCATCATTCAACATGTATCATGATATTAATAGCAGCCTCTTCCCGGACATGAAAATGATTTTAAAGCTTTCAATAAACATACAGACCCTTCATACTCCATTCATTAAACTGTTCAAGCCATCACACATTTAAATGGAACCAAACAAGAAGATGATTTAAATTTTAGAATGGTGTTAAAAAAACCAAATTTTCCAAATAAACCCTTCCTTATGATTTTCGAATGACCTTTGACCTTGAGATCATACGAAGGTGTGCCCTATTTATATAATATCTTCTGTTACAAAAATTTTACAGCATTCACACAAAAATATATCAGAATTTAAACTAGAACTCTTGTTTTTAAATCGAAATAGTTTACAAAATTATCTATTCTTAAATTTTACCTATACACCTTACATTGTTACAATTACAGTATCTAATGAATTCTGATTGGATGATCAAGTCACATGACTATCTATCACATGACACAGAAAACCAATCAGAATGCAGAAGAAAATTCAAATTGGTACAAGACAAATATGATACTCTTTCCCAATATATTTTAAAAGGTTATCATAAGGAATGAAGCTAGGTACAATATAACTACATAATGGATGACAAATTACGAAAGTTAGTTAGCGAAAACAGTCGGAACAGGGGCAAATAACTCTGGCTCCATATCCTGGTGTAACTCTGAACTACATGACCCTCGTATCTGTGAAGTTTCTGACATATATTCATCATTATACAGACGTTTGATACCATCATAGATATTGTCATCTTCTTCTATTAGTTCCACCTTTCTCTTTTTAGATTTCTGAGTTGGTTTGACTATTTTCTGGTATGGTGTTATCAATTGTTGTCGAGAACTCAAATAGGTGGCTATAATTTCGCGACAATGGACCAAATTTTGAGTTTCAGTCTGAAATTGAAATAAAGAGAGTGAAAGCCAAAATTCTTTGTAAAATGAGCTCATTTAGAGGTTGGCATTACAAGTGTTCAAATAAAACGCCATGCAGTGTAAAATGAGGGAAACTTGTCTGCAGATATAGCCTCATTATATTAATCTACAACTATTCATGCAGACCGAAGCTCACAGGGTTTTGGTTTGTTGTTGCATCCAAGACTTCCACTATCACAGGAGTTAAAGATCCTTTATTCCAGCTGGTCTCAGATCAAAACCTCTTGGCATTGATCTTTCATGGATTATTCTCTTCCCATTTACAGCTGGGTCGACTGGAATAATGAGAAAACCCATAACCAACGTATCTAAGCAAAATGATGTCATTGAAAATTTGATAAGTTTACTTACATTTGTCATTTTCTGTATAATAGAAATTAAGTTGAACCAGCCAGGTACAAACTGTTCTAATTCTAAACTTAACATAGCAACGACAACTGTCATTGGACGAAATGCCAGTAATCGATGTTCTGACAGACATGTCATTAGTTTACGTACTATAGTTGACATGTGATGTGAGGGGGTCATATATTTCACGCCTGACAGTAGTTGAGGGTGGTGTTGTAGTAATACAGCATGAATCTGAAATAACATGGTTTCATATTAAGAATGAAGTTTTTTATTGTAATGCATCAAAAATATGCAAAGTGGTGATTTTTGTGCGAAGGTTCACCATTTTCTTGGGTTGATTTGGGTCTTGATTATATGTAAATAGTCTTCAGAGTACTACAACTGTATGGAAATTGTATAATTTCTCCAAATACCTCAAATGTTTCTATTTCTATATTTGTCTTTTCTATATGTGACAGAATCTCAAGAAATGACGACCATTCTTTTTAACTTTCAAACGTAGATAATTCTGAACACACGTGGATTTGAAGACTCAAATTTCGATGGTGAGCTGTAGACACCATTACTGATTAACATAGCTAAAAAATAGATCTACTTACAATATGTAAAGAATCAATGGATGATGTAGTTGGTAAAGACCAATTTAATTTCTTCAGAATAGTCAACTCCATACGAGTTATTTCTGATAGAGAACATCCACATCCACTAGTTCTTACCATATCCTTCGTACTCGGGATAATCTGTAACAAATATACACAAAACATTGTTTATAATTATAAATTAGAGGGACTATAAAGAGGTTGAATTAAAATCTTTGATAAAAATTACATTTTCACTCAGTGAACACTGAGTGAAAATGTAATTTTGAACCAAACTTGAACCAATTTGCTCAGTCCCAGAAAGAAATGCAGGTTATGTAAACAGAAATGTTAACTTACATGATCTTCTTCAAGTGTTTTAGCTGCTAGATATACACATGTTGTTGTTACACAACGCAGGTATTTACTGGGTACCTGTAATATTACATCATTTATTTATTAATTCCTTTAATTCAAACATAGAACCTTCTGAACATATGTCAATATACTAACAGTCCTATCGAATATAACAAAATTTCATCTCCAAGATAAAGAGTTGTCTATGTTCATACTATTGGAATGATATGAAGTTTTATATTCTACTTTTCGGCACCTAGTTGGTCTAAAGTAAACAAGCAACACCATGAGGGAAAAACATACCTTAACAAGAGATAAAAATTTATCAAAAATGGCTACAGCTGAGCCAGCTGTTTCTGGATGAAAATGGAATTTGTTATTCAAGATGACCATACCATGTACAGCTTCATCTCGCATATCACTGGTAATCTGGAATGAATGAATGAATGAATGAATGAATGAATGAATGAATGCTGAACAGTGAGCTGTGACCACTATTACTGATTAGCAGTAACTGATTGGTGTTTCAGTAAGCCATGTAATCTCTGCCTTAACTTTTATCATAACCATTACAGATGAATAATCAGGCAACAGCCAATCAATAACAGCACTATTTACTTGATGGACTCTCCAATGGTACAGTGGATGTAAAGCACAACACAAGAGTGCATGGCATTTGTTTGGTGTTCCAGTAAGCCAAACAATCCCTGCCTCTACTCATATATCATTGAATACCTTTGAATGTTTACAACTTACAATCATATTCAAATAAAGAAAAGTCATCATTTCTAAAAATGCGTAATAAAAACAATAGAGATTATAGAATCAGGTAGATTAGATAACCCAATTCCAGAATATAGGGAACTTTTTTAGAAGGTTCAATTTTAGTTCAAGTTCAATTACCTGTTAAATCAAGTTTTAAAGGGGAACAGTCAATATTTTGGGGGGTTCAGTTGGGTCTTGAAAAAATGTTAATGCCTGCATCTAAAATTTTGCCATAACCTGCAACATCCCTGATTAAAAGATATCAAACAGGAATTTTTATTTTTTGTTAAAATAACACTGATAACATCTGTTATATGGTTGCTAGGTAACCAATATAATAATTGATAATGAGAATATCTGATAAAAATATTCATCACCACCAGAAATACCTTCAATGGTTCATTAACTCTTGATATCATCTCTTTAATTCCTATACTTATAGCACATTTTAAATTTAAAATCAATATATCATACATGAGCTAGATCAAGATGGCAAAAATCAATAGAAATATTATAAATGAGCTGAGATCAACATGACACTATTAGCTATTCATGCTATGTGGAGCCTGAAAAGAGATGCCAAGTTGATATGCCCAGTCAAAGAGAGTTACCAGGATGTCTGAATGGGCGTTAGATGCCCTGAATGGACAGTAAGTATTATGCATGGGGTATAACTATCTAATTTAAATAGGATTACTATTTCATTTCATTATTATTTTTTTGTTGGTTTCCATTGTAATCTAGCGAGATTTATACCAAGGTTTCGTATTGGTGATGGTTTAAGCTATTTATAGCAGATTATCACACGCTACTCTCCCGCCAATCAGAATCACTTTTACACGCAAGTATCAGCAGTCTCATAATCTCATTGGTCAAATCGTTCTACTTTGGGTTTTTCGCCATACCACAATTCAGTTGATATTTCGACACAGATTCTGCATGACGCGCTGTGATTGGTTGAAATGAACATCATCAGTGCAAGACCATGGTATAAATCTTGTTAGATTACGATGGAGGCCGACGTAAACATATTAACGAAACGAAATTGTAGTCTAGTTTGAAACACAATCTAGTCACCCTTACTGAATACCTAAAATAACTTTTGAAAAATTGTTTTCATATTCAATAACTTAGAACTGATTTGGTGTTTCTGGTGGACAAAATTTCTCATTAAATATATTGACGTTTAACAAAAAAAAAAAAATAGCTTTAACATAATTTTTGACATATTATTTTATGTTTTTTTTTGTTTTTTCTATATTATTAGTAAAGAATTATAGTATAAAATAGTAGGAGGGCCACAGCTGGAGATATTTTAATCTGTTTATTAATGATGGTAGACAAACAATACAGTCAATACCCGCCTTGAAAACAACAAAATAATAAACAATTGTTCACTTTTAAAATAAAAATTCTTTTTTTTGATGAATCATAGCTCATACAAGCTAACTTTGACCTTTTTTGACTATTAAGAGGAAAAATAATTGTCTTATTTATTATTTTAAAGAAAAACCAAGCACTACCAGAAAAACGCAGGAAATATTTCATTTTGAAAAGCTACTCAGTTACATAGAGCTATTGAATTTGACCAGTGAGCTAAGTACCATTAAGTCATTCCCATGATGTAGGTTGAAATTTCTACCTGAGCGATTAACAATATAATAATATGTAAGGTATGAATATGAATTAAGCATCAAGCTGATAAATTAATAGTCAGATAGTCATATCTTATCATATCTATTACAGGGAGAAAAGATTAAGGCAGAGGTTTTTTAGGGTAAATATTGAAACGATTGCATTTTAAACTAAAAAGCTTTCTCTATTAAAAGATGACTGGATGTTCTGGAATATGTCCTATGTTATCTGTCATTTAGTGGTGTATTAAGGGTGGGGTGGGGGGGGGGGGGGGGAGGGGGTCTAGATATACCCCTGTATTCAATACATATAAGCTTGTAGTTATATCTAAGACATGAAAAATAGCTAAGTAAGTAAATTGCTTACATGGTAGAAAGTACATGGTTATTGGATTTCCAGTTGAAATTAGAAGTTTATAACCATTATAAGGCCAGACTAGAACTATTAAAAAGCTATCAATATACTTCTGACTCATACCCACAATAATTACAGAATAAAACAGACTTAATAACATCTAAAATAGCTCGTATTCTACAGAATGTCTGATTTCAACTATTAAACCTAGTTTTAATTATATCAACAGACATAATGTAATAAATTTATATGTTTTTAGTTTTCACAATTGTCCTTTTTATCAACTAAAGCCCATAAAATTTTCTAGTCGTTTTGGAAGAATAACAAAAACAGTAGAGTGTAATGAATCTTTTATGCAAAAGAGAAATCAATTCTTAGGTTGCAGTGCTTTTTTTGCATCCGCCTTCTTCAGAAATGGGTATTAAGATACATGTATGAGTGGAATAGCTGGCTTAAGATAACAGAAAGAATTCATAAAATCCACTACTAGATATTGGTAAAAACTGTGCAGCTCTTTAAAAATAACGAGTCCTTCCAAATATTTCTAGAATAGGTCAAGAACATAAAATACCCATCAACATGTAATAAATATCTACATTCAGTATAAATAATAGAGATAATAAACACAGTAAATAATATAGATAGTTTATATTGTATATATACAGGTTGCCAACAAATATTATCATCATATGTTTATTATAAACATAACTCTATTGTCAGGTTGCCAATTACTCTTTCAATGTTATCATAACACGATATGGTCCTAGTAAATAAGCAGGGTACGTCCAGTCTTCATATAGTTTGTAATAGTTTGACAATGTATAGCAGGGTACGTCCAGTCTTCATATAGTTTGTAATAGTTTGACAATGTATAGCAGGGTACGTCCAGTACATAATAACATGTTTCTATTGTATAGAAAGCCTTATAATTATCTACTGTATATATCACAGTAAACAAACAAACAAACAAATAGACAAACAAACAAACAGAGTTACCAAACAAATACCTTACAACTAATATTCTAGCCAATACTTGCTATTTCTAATGCCAGCATTTCTTAAGAAAGCTTGCTTAAGGTTTGGTGCCTGAATTACAAGAGGTCTTTTTAGCAGGATCTGTCTTTAAAGATATTGAACTTATTTCACTGGCTATATTTTTTGATATTATCGGTTTCTGGATGTGATTAATGGTTTGCAATGTGAATAGGAATGTCTACAGAATGGCTTTACTTCAAGTATTTAGAAATCTCTCGCGACTAACAAATATCATTTTGGTATTTACATCAGGTTATTGTTGTATGATATATATGTTGATTTATCTCTTAGTTTAACAGTCTGAAACCTGATAATCTTTCTACTAAATAACTACACATTTCATATTACATAACAACTCAAGTACTGTCTAGTCCCTTCTAAAACAAAACATCACCAAAATTTGATTAGGTCTTTTTGACCGATCCAACCTGCAAAACACTCAAATGTACAAATTGTTTATTTCAGATTTATTCTGGAAAGAAGAATTCATGAAAACAATTTTTGTTTTTTTGACCACTCTTTCCACAATATACCCAAATATGAACACACTGTTAATTTTAGATTGATTATCAAAAGAAGTAGAAACTGGACTTCATTTGTGCCGCAATAAGAGTACGGCCCAGCTTTGTCTAAAAGAGCACATTTATGAAAAATTTTGTTTCGGACCAATCCAAATAACAAAACACCTAAATGAACACACTGTTATTTTCAGATTTATTCTGAAAAAAAGTACAAACTTGACTATGCTGTGTCAGAAAAAACCAGACTGTAAACACTGAGTACAGTAAGATCATCTATTTATATGCCCTATATATCAAGGGTAGAAAAGTCAAAGGTAGATAGGACTCAAGCATATATTTCAGTTGACATAGATTTCACTTTGTTGATTATTGTATAAAACTAAGTTATGTAAACATTAGATAAGCTCACACAGTGACCAACATTAAAGAATTTCTGAAGTATCCATGTTAAAGGTTGGAATAGACGAGAATGGTGTCTGGTGCTGGAGTTATCGATTCAGTAGAAAATAGCAAAAGTCAATTGTGTCCGTGCCGTGTTCGGATCCATATCATGGGTGTTTACATCTTCCACTTTCTACTGTATCAATTATTCCAACATACACCATACTATGTCTATTCTCACTCTAACAACTAGAACTAACCCTGACCATCGTCCCTATCTATCCTTTCAAGCAGATGTTTTTAATGACTTGTCACTGGGAAAGGGCCTAATAGAAATGCACATCTTTCATTGAAGACAGGGTAAGCAAAACTGAATAACAGTTCAAGAAACTGCTGATCAATTTTGCTTAAAGGTTCTTTATACAAAGAATTTGTCATATAAAATTTGCATGAGGGCTTTGAAGGAATTTTTGAATGCTAATTGGGCCATTTACACTAGTCTATTCAGAAAATCTTTTTTTAAATTGGATACAGATATTCAAATTGGATACAGATATCTGACAGTATACAATATAACTATTTCTATATACAGTCCATAGAAACACGGCAAATATAGATCTTTCAAATCAGCTGAGCAACAGTTGATCTATAGTCTCTAACAACCAGTCTTATTCTCTGGTTATTTATAGATTGAACTGGATAACCCAGTCTAACTACCTGCTGGATCAATACTATTAA